CAAAAATTCGAATCATGGATTACAAAAAATTACTAATCATGGGTTACAAAAAAAAACAAAAAAACAAAAAATTTGATCATGGGTTACAAAAAAAACAAAAAACAATTCGATCATGGATTACAAAAAAATCGATCTAAGTATTACAAAAAATCTATCATGGATTAAAAAAAAAAAAAAAAAAAATTTCCATACAGAACTTGCCGGTTCACTGTACGGACTCGTTGATCCCGTACAGTGAATCGCGAGTCACTGTACAGAATCGTCCGGTTCTCTCTAAAACCGGACGATTCCCGTTTTTTTTGCCGATTCGATCCGTCCATGGCGATTCCCGACTCGGCGTTTTTTTAAACACTGCATATGAGAATGGGCTTGGTAAATGTGTCTCTCATATGAAAGCGCTGCCCGACCATTCAATAGAATACGAAATTGCTTTCCTACCATAATAATAAATTGCTTCACTACCCTCGCAAGTGTAGAACCCCATAGTCACATGTGTAGCATGAGCTTCTTGTACCAACATGCTTCTGGCGATGTCAATGAATATAGTGTGATTTGTGACCAAATATCTTCAACCGACTAGCAAAATTATAAATGAAATGATGCAAAGACAGGAGTGTGTGTCATTAAAAATTTACCCTAGATCTTAATGTAGAATGTTTGCTACATGTAATTGAAGTTAATGTTCATGTGATTTAGGATTTAGATTAATCTTTGATGAAGAGGTTCATAAAGGTAATAAGGCATTGGAGGATATTGATAGTTAAAATTATGGTTGGATAGATAAGACTATTAATTTTTTATCTTTAGATTAAACTTGTTTTTGGATAGATAAGACTACTGATTTTCGATATTTAGGATGCGTACAAGTGATACTTTATCGAGCTCCTTATCTTTTTATTTCTTGGTCCCTCATAATCATGGCACCATTATTCTGGCCCTACAGACTTATTGATTTTCGATCTTTGAGATGAGTACAGCACTATTATTCACCCCTCGTAATGAGGATGGGTAGTAAGCTATATAACTACATTGTTATTGGATAGGAAAAACTATTATTAATAAAATATGTGGTATGTTATTATTTGATGCGATGAGCTATGTACCTACATTATTATTGGATAAAAAAAACTACTATTAATAAGATTTGTGGTATGTTATTATTTGATGCGATGAGTGTTTGATAATCTAAATGGTTAATATATTTGATGGGAAGATCCTTTTTTTTAAAATAAAGGATAGAGAGTTCGCTATAAGTGAGATTTAGCGATATTTTTTTTTAGTGTATTATCCCTCATTTTTGTAGAGTAAACTTTATATATATAATAATGTGGCAACTGCATATTTTTGTAGGGTTTATATATAATAATTTGGTAATTGTATTTCAATTGCATTTGGTGTGTAAAAGGGAAGGCTATGTCATATGGGATTGTATATAGATACTTTTGATATATGGTGGTCACAATTGCTTACACTCATTTGATGTGAAATTTAAATTTGATAGCTTGGACGTGTCACAAAGTTCAATTTTTTTTTTTTTAAGTTTGAGCTTGGCCAATGAAATAATTGCATCCACCTAATTACACATCCAATGGTCAAGATTAATGTGATGGCCTTGTACCAAAGATAAATGGTCTTATTTTTATACTTTCCCATATTATATAGGTTATTTTTGAAAAAAAATAAATCTGAGGGCTCATGATGAATTAATACTTTTTAGGAGCGTTTGATTTTGTCAATAGAGGTTAGTAATTCTTCTGCGCATAATAAGCCCTTGCTCTTGTGTGCATCTGACGGATTTATGACACGTGGTTCGTATTTCTTACTTTTGTTGTCGTTGCACAATTGATGGATGCTAAAAGATATTCTACTCTCGCATTAGCATAATTTCTATTTACTCCTTTAGGTAAAACCCAACCGATATTAATTTTAGAACCTTAGAATTTGGGGATAGAACGTCTTCAACTTGTAGATTAATTCAATAAATTTTTTTTTCCTAATTGAATCTCTATGCACATGAAAGAAATAATGTCTTGAGAATGAATAGAGACCGTTTAATTTTTTAGATGGTAAGCTTTAAGTGTTAAAAAACTCAAATTTCAATTTTTTTTCAAAAAATAATCTTAGTAGTTATTAAGTGGTTCATTTTCGAGTTGTCTCATCCCCCTCTCACTCCTATTTAGGGTCTTGGTTCATTTACAACAATCATACTCTTATTTTCATATAAAAATGGTTAGAATTAATAAATTTATTTTTGCCATTTTAAAGAATGGTAAACTTGATCTATGTAGATAAACATACGTAGAGAATTGGCTGAAGCCTTGGTGCTTGTATTAATGGGCCTTATGATGAAGTTTTTGACTTCATTCTCACCAAAGGGGTAGAGGTCCAAATCTATATTTAATTTTTTTTTTTTTTGTACAAAGATATATGTATATAGATATTTGGTATTTATGTACCAGATCTTGATTGAATGGTTAGGAGCACCTAATATATTGAATATTATTATTTTTAAAATCAAATCAAGATAGAATTTTTTGGGTGTGTGCAACTCATTAAGGGCACTCGAAATAATATAAAAATAATATTTTGATAATAGTTAAATAAATAAAATACTGTTAAAGGATTTAAAGGTATTTGGGCTATTTTATTTTTATGGAATTATTTTTTATATGTTTTACACATGTATGATGCCGAGAAATATCGATGTGCAAATTTTGAGCCCAGCTTTATAAAATGATAAACTTGAAATATTTACGTGCCTCTCAACTATCCGGCTCAACTATCCGGCAAGATTGGATGGTTACTAATGATAACTTTTTTACTGTTGGAAAATGTTAGTTTCTTTGATAGTTGGCTTGGTGCTATCCCATCCATTCATTTAGATCAGATGGTTGGCACGCTCTAGTTATGTATCTTTTTTAGGTAGGTGGTCCAAATAGAAAAGTTTGCCCTTTAAATAATAACAAAATATGGTTAAAATATCATTAAAATGGTCAACCACCTAAAATCAATGAAATGGTTAAATCAACAATTTTACCAACAAAATAGTGTCTTTAAAAATTCATTTAATCTAGAAATGTCCTTGAGATTTTTTTTTTCTAAAACTGCCTAAATTGCCGTTGATTAGGATTTTCAACCATGAACAAGTGAGGGAATTTCAATAATTTGACTCACCTCAGAGACTTGAGTCGAATAACTTAATTACCTTAACATGTTCTAGATTCCATACCTAGAACATGATTTCCATTAAAAAATCTTGTTTTGGTTTTGAACCTATATTAAATAGGTTTATTTTGGTGGTTTGGCCATACTTAAATCACCCAAGCTAAAAGATGTAAATACCTTTATTTGTTTAGGATTCCAAACTCGAGGAACATATTTGTGGTAAAAACACATGTCCCTCGAATCCGAAACAAGTCAAAGTATTTACTCCATTTGTTTCGGATAACAAAATTTGAAATTGTTCCAACTTGGAAACAACGAACATTTGGGAATTTTTCTATTAAACTAATAGATTATGTAGCTAAATGGAATGATTTTTAGAAGTAACCACTTTATTCTTAATTTAGTTGATTAACCACTCTTTGATTTTACCCTTTTATTTTTCACTACAATGATTTCATGCTCTAGCAGAAGTAGGCTGCCCATTTGCTCCCTTAGACAAAATCCCACCTAGGTATGTCTTTAGGACACCAAAATTTGTTGGGGGACTATAATTATATACTATGAGATCTTTTATTTTTGTGACAATGAGGTCAAAATTGCTCCTAGTCACTAGATATCAAAATGGATGGCTTGGAGTTGTTACAAAATTTGAGAATTTTTTTTTCGAACTTTGAGTCTAGTCAATAATAATCTTACAACCACTTGATTTTAAATGTAATAGACAAGGGGAGTAGTATTGCCCCTATTTTTTAGTGAAAATTATAATGTGCAAGCTTCCCATACAACATAAAACTTATATACTTCCCCTTCCCCTTATCCAACCGTCAATTCTGAATGGAGGGCTAAGATTGCCCCAATCACAATGTCATGTCTTTACACTATTTTATTTTTAATTTTTTTTTCTATAAACTATTTTGATACCAAATTTTTACGTCCAATCCTCTATTAAACTCGCACTAGCAAAAAATATTAAAAAAATATTTCGATAAAATAAAATACCCCTGAAAATTTCAAGGGGTATTTTGGCCAGTATATTTTATCAAAAAATTATTTTTTATTGGTGCACCCCAATGAGAATATGGCACGTACCAAATTTCATATTCATACAATTTGTATAAAAAAAAACTAAAAAAAAAATACGTTGAGGCATCGGATTTAAGATGAAACGGTGCGTGATCAAAATTGGACGGCTAGATAGTAGGGGAAGCATAGATCTTCTATGTTGTAGGAGAAGTATAGAAACCTTTCCCAATAATAATTAGGGGCAGATGTACTAGCCTGGCCCTAATAATATAGGGCTTGGGCCACTGTCGGGCCAGGGCAAATTCTAGCCCGATCCTGGCCACCCTTGAGAATAATGGGTAGGCTTCAACTTCGCCATGGGCTTGGGCCTCCAAATAATTGGTACTATCTAGGCCCAACTATTCATCTCCATCAATTTTTTATGAACCCTATTTAGGTTGCTCACCAAAAGACCAATGGCTATTATTGCAGGTAAAGTATTGGAGAGCGTGGGTAGGGTAGGCACAATCCCTGATCTTTTATTGCAAGCTACATCTCACAGCGGCTTTGGTGGTTTTGCTGATGTGTCACTCATCAAGAGGGACAAAAACAAAGGTGGGACCGCACCTGGAGGGGGGAAATGCTACAAGGATAATGAGTTGGTGAAGGTCCCTTACATCGCAAGGTTAGTTATGAAAATGGGAAGCAACATGGGTAAAAACCCTTCAATCATATATGTGGTACACCGGATTATTTTATTTTAGTTTCCATTTTGTCTTGATTTAATTCATTTATTTTTGGTTGAGAAGCTAGGATTGTAACGTTAGATGGTGATGTTGCATGACTTACACCCTAACCACTTAGTCAAGAGGCTGAACCCTAACCACTTAGTCGAGAGGCTGAACTCCTGCATTTAAGAAACATTGCGAATATGTCAAAATGCCTTTTAACCATTTCACAAAATCATCTATTATTTTGTATAATTTTCCAAAGTAAACTGGTATATTGAAATTGTCTACGGTACCTCAAATAAGATTTCAAGCAACCTTAGTTGCTTATTGCTTTTAGGGGAACTCTCGTTAAAAGGGTCACACCTTTTTAAGAAATCAATGAGTAAATCAATAAATTTACTAACAAAATAATCAATTCTTATAGACTTGTGCTTCAAGAACATTATTAAAATAGCCAAATTAATTTTATTGGGATTCGTAACCTTGAAAAAGCATGGGCATTTTAAATAATTTGCTTAACTTTAGTTATTTGAATCAAAGGACTTCAACCCTTACTTATTCTGGATTCCCAAAATAGAATGCGCTTTTTCTATTAAAATTCTTGTTCCGAGTTTCAAACAGAAAACAAAAAGCCATATCCCCATATTGTTTTCATTTATGCTCGGGGCAGTTTGGGCATTTTCTAACCAAATAGTTAAGGAAGTACCAGTGAAATGATTTTTTTAATGTAACACTTTTGTCGATAAATTGGTTAATTTGAGAGCTTGGATGATTTTGCAAGTGGTCCGACTATTTTATTGATATTTTCTCTCTTTCCTTTAAATATAAGCACTGTGGAAAAACCATAGTTTGTCATTATCGTACAAAATCACAATGCTGGAGGGTGATGCTGAGAAAATCTCACAACGAAGAACATGAACGGATCCAAGTCATGGGTCCCATTCTCTCTCATATCTCACATTTATGGAAATTGCTGAACCAATACACTACAGTTTTAAATTAAAAAACTATATAAGGTTATAGTTTTAAAAAAACTATGGAAATTGCTGAACCAATACACATCTATGGAAATTGCTGAACCAATACACTATATTTTTAAATTAAAAAACTATATAAGGTTATAGTTTTAAAAAAACTATGGAAATTGCTGAACCAATACACATCTATGGAAATTGCTGAACCAATACACTATAGTTTTAAATTAAAAAAAGTTTATATAAGGTTACAACACCTTATCTCTATAAGTAAAGTTAGAAAAGAGGTTGCAGAAATTTACACTGTATTTTATTTGTTGTATAGATCTGATGCTATCTTAAAAGGCTTGCCATTTTTTTCTATAGTGTCTTAAAAGATGTATAAAGTCTACGAATCTACAATGTCTAACTAAAATAGAGCTTCTACAAATAAAATTGTAGCTTTATACAAATCAAGCCGTGTGAATTATTAATTTTTTAAATTACTTCATTGCTAATAATGAAAATTTGTTATATTATACTAATTTTTTTTCCGTTTTTTGGGTAAATGAATTACAGAATGCTTTTCTTTCCATGAATTTAGGGGTGGCAATGGACCTGATAAGACCAGGGACCCGACAGATATATACCCGACCTCGGGTCCAGGTATGGGTCCAAATTTTTGACCCGAATACTATTCGGATTTAGGTCTGGGTCCAGCCAGGGCTGACCCGTACCAATAGTCATAGGTATATGATAGCAATCATACGTCTTTAGGTGTGCCCTAGGTATTTATATTGTCACAATATTGGCAGCACTACAATATTATTGGAAAAAAAAGAAGAAGCTCATAGTCATAAAGCATGCGATGGTAAGAAAAGGGCCCAAAAAAAAAGAAAAAACTCATAATCATAGGATGGTAACGAACTTGAGTTCCGACAGGTAAACCCAAGACTTGATGGGTTTGGGCACATGTTTAAATTTTGGACCCAAAAACTATTCGGGTCTTCTGGTCCAGCCGTACCCGACTGGTTGCCACCCCTACATCAAACCAACCATTCTTATATAGGAGTTTCTCAAAAAGCGCAATGGTTTCCGAGGTAATAACATTAAACATCTCTAGTGGTCTATCTTTTCCTCTATGATTAGTTAGGTTGGGACTCTTACACCCTAAATTCTATTAACCATATTGGCTGACAAAATTACCAACCAATGAAGAATAAATGGGACAAAATCCAACATAAAAACTCTCTCAAGGTAACAAGATCATGTGCAGGTACAGCTTTTACACAAGGGACACAGAGTCAGAGGTTGGTGTTGGTAGTCCTATTGGGGTTCCTACAGGGTTCAAGCCACTAGTCAACTATTTTGCAGAGGGGGTGCAAATATATGCATACAATGGTTCTGCTTGGGAGTTCATGAGGGCAAATGCTGTGCTTTCATCAGGACCTGGCCAAGAGATTGTTGGGCTTCATTACTTTTTGGATGGGGATGATGGCCATGGAGGTCGACCCACATGGAAGAGCCTGGCTCCTAAGAGCAGTGTCACCTGTAAGGTGGTGGCGAACTTACAGGATAACCCTAACTCTGTTTCTTGGCTCTTACTTGAGGCGACTAGCCATACTGATGGAACCAGGTTTGTGCCTAAATTATATTTGTCCTAAAAGGTGATGGAAATAATTTTTTCTAAATATTTGAATTAATATCTAGAGGAAATAATTTTTAATGGAAATTAACCAATTTTCCTTAAAATAATTTTAATAGATTCAATCATTTGGACTAGAGGCACAACCAGATCACTTTCTTTAAGATGGTTATTGCATCCACTAGGAGATCTGCAAGATGCAATGAGTTGCAGGCAATATTGACTCCCGGATACGACTAGCCCAATCATTTAATAAAAACTTATTTTCCAATAATAAATATTATAAATATTTCTTCTAATATGCCCAAGTGTGGGAAATTATTAATTTTGTGAAATTCAAGGTCAATAGACAATAACTCACAAGACATTTTATTTCACTAATTACTATAATTTCTCAAAATAATTAAATTTCATGGGCCAAAATTTCATTTTAGACCACATAATTTCACTGTACTTTTGTACACATTCTTTGTTTTCATAAGAAGCGTAATGGTTTTGGCCCCTTCTTCCAGCTATATTGTTTTCATTGATGTCTTGGTATTTTAATTAGACTTTGCATATCCACAACTAACGTTCTTTTCTATCATTATTTAAAAAAAAAAAAATAACTTTTTTATTATCTCTTCACATTTTTGTTTCGTTTGAAATCACAACTCTCTCTCTAAATAAACTTGGTTGCGATGCGCATGTATGTATGTTTGCAGGCAGTTGTTTGGGTCAGTGAAGTACGTTCAAAGGGTGCACACGAGCGGGGGATTGAGCCCAATCAATAACCAAGAGGCTAAAGTTGGCGATCTATATGCCTCTCCTTACACTGCGGTTTATTGGTTCTATTATTCCTAGTCTAATCTAATGATATCAAATTCTCTCTCTCATTTTTTTTTTTTTGACAATGTTCAAACTCTCTCTCATTTTTTATTTTTTTGACAATGTTCTATAGGGAAGCTGATTCTTTGTGCTTATGCGGTTTATATTCTCGGATTTATAATAATACACACTGCATTCCACTATGAATGTTGCTTGGAATTTATATCCTCGGATTTATAATGATACATACCGGCATTCCACTATGAATGTAGCTTGGACGTATTGGATAATGGCCTCTCTAGTGCTTGAGCGTTTGTAATTTCCACACCTAGATATTATATCTTAGGCTATAATTGATTGCACTCAAATATCCGAATATTTAAAAACTTTAAGTGATTCACAATACTGTTAATGCTTAATCTGAAAATACATGTTTGATGGGTCAAATTGTATCCTCATGTATTAAGATCTCAAATCTGTATTTCCCAAAAAATTCAATTACGCCTTGAGTATCAATTGGGCCTCTTCTATTTCTCTCTTTTCTATCCTGCCTCCCATTAAAATCGAAGATGACACCCATTAAAATCGAAGATGACAGGAGGGAAAGGGCGAGAGCGGTTGAATCCTTTAATTAATGGATCGGATTTGATTCATAAGTACACTTCACCTGCAACTTTCACTCTCTTATCTTCCGAGCAAAACCCACTCTCATTTCTTGGCCTTCCTCTACAAAACCTCTTTGCATCTTGTCAAGGTTACTCTCTCTAACTCTGAACAAATTATCTCCTCATTCCCAGCAAAAACCACTTCCATCTTGTTAAAGTTTATCTCTTTAACTACAAGCCTATTATTTTTCATGGAAAGGTTTCTATGCTTCCACTACAGCATAGAAGTTCTATCCTCCGCCTACCATCCAGCCGTTCAATTTTGATTAAGAGAGCCACTCACCGTTTGATCTTAGATCCGACGTTTCAAAATATTTTATTTTTAGTTTTTTTTTATACAAATTGTATGAATATAAAATTTGGTACGTGTAATCTTCTCATTGGGCAACACCTATAAAAAATATTTAAAATAATTTCTTGATAAAATATAATGATAAAAATACCCCTTGAAACTTTCAGGGGTATTTTGATCATTTTATTTTATTGAAAATATTTTTATTTTATTTTTACCTTAGAAATTAATTTCCATAAAAAATGACCAAAATCTAGGAAATTGAAAACAGAACCACATAAGTATGATTCCAATTACTTTCAAATTAATTGGGGTGGGGTGTAAGTAGGGCTGCCACTTGGCCGGGCTGGGCCGAGTCTAGTAAGACCCGGTCAGAAAACTACATCCCAAAAGCCTAGCCCATCGTGAATATATAATATTAGAGCTCAGCCAGGCCCTGCCATTCAGAAAAGGCCTAATTTTATTTTGTATTTTGTATTTTTTATTTTATTTTATTTCTTGTTTATAGTAAGCCATTAAAAAACATATGCTAAAGTATTTTTTCAAAAATTTAAAAAATATTAAGTTTTTAGAGAGAGAAAAAGAGATTGGGTTTTTAGGAAAAAAAGAGAGATTGGCTTTCTAGAGAGAGAAAATAGGTTTTTAGATATAGAAAGAGAGATTAGGTTTCTAGATATAGAGAGATTGAGTTTTTAGAGAGAGAAAGAGAGCTTAATTTTTAGAGAGAGCTTGGGTTTTTAGAGAGAGAAAGAGAGATTGGTTTTTAGAGCGACAAAGAGATATTGGGTTTTTAAAGAGAGAATCGGATTTAGAGAGAGAAAGAGAGATTTAGAGAGAACGGGTTTTATCGGTGGAATGGGATTTTAGAGAGAGATAGATTGAATTTCTAGAGAGAGAGAATATGTTTTAGAGAGAGATTGAGTTTTTAGAGAGAGAGAGATTGGGTTTCTAGAGAGAAAAAATTGGGTTTTCAAAGGGAGAAAAAGAGATTGAGTTTCTTAAGAGAGAATGAGATTAGAATGAAAAAGAGAGAGAGAGATTAAGTTTCTAGAGAGAGCAAATTAGTTTTATAGAGAGAGAAATTGCGCTTTTAGAAAGAGAAAGAGAGCATGTGTTTTTAGAGAGAGAAAGAGAGAATGGGTTTTGAGAGAGAGAAGGAGAGATTAGGTTTGTAGAGAAAGAAAGAGATAATGGGTTTTTAGAAAGAGAGATTGGATTTCTACAGGGAGAGAGAATTAGTTTTTAAAGAGAGAAATAGATAATGGGTTTTTAGAAGGAAAAAGAGAGATTGAGCTTCTAGAGAGAGAATAGAGTTTTAGATAGATCTTTTATACATTATCTATCTACTCCCTCGGGCCAAATTAATACTAAGAATATCTTTTATATATCCTAAATTTCCGGGATGCGATCTCGAGAACCCACCAACCAACCTCAAAGGAACAAAAAGAAATTAACCCTCAGTCTCTATGTGCCTAAAAAGAATGGAAACCCAAGATTGCATTGGTGCCATCCAACTTTTTTTTTTTTTTGATAATAATCATTTAGATGGATCCTGAAATTTCTTATAAAAACAATCTCTTAGTGTTTTGTCCAAGAGAGTAAATGTATGGTATGCTCCATCAGAATTATAACATGCTCTTTACCCTCTATGTCTCCTCTCATGCCTTATAATGCAAACTTGGTTTAGCATTGTACTTAATCAACATTTCATGACCTCGGAGGGAGGGAAACACAGAATAACAAAGTAAAATATGTTTCGATCTAATGTTTAACTAATTTTTTAGTCGTCTTGTAGATGGGTAATTTTCAAGATATCGTATTCATTAGAAAATTATTAGTGCATTCTCAACAATATCTATAATAACAATTAAAAGTTAAAAATAGCTTACATTCCAGATTTTAGGATGGTAGATTTCCAAATAATTTACCAAATGAAAGGAAATAATTTTGTTGGAAATCTAGGCATTATTACCAAACATGAGAAAAAAAAGAATGTGAAATCTAAATCTAAGAAATATTTTTCCTATAAAATTAATTTACTACAAGAAAACCATTTCATGAGACAGGAAAAATTTGTTTCTCAATCCCACCCAAGAATTTGATTATATAAGGTAAACCGCAATCCTTGGACCACATGATTTCAAATCAAAATGGTGAAGGACTATTCTTGGAACTTTAATATCACAAGATGAAAACTTAATCTAAAACTAACTTCGAGTCACAATCATTCTTGTTCCTTACTTTGAGTGAGACATTAACTTCAATATCCAACAAGAATGAGTTACAATAATTATTTCTTCCTTAGATGTGTTGGGTTTAATGAGTTACAATCATTATTTCTTCCTTAGATGTGTGTTGGTTTAAGAGAAAATGGCTTTTACCCCTTTCTTTGTAGTTTTTATCTCTATTAGACCCTTGGTTTGCAAAACTTATTTGTACACCCTCTCAAGTTTAAAACTTTAGAACAATTAGCCCCCAACTATGTTTTTATTTGTTCTCTTTACAAATTTAATCTTTTTGTTTTGCAAAATTCCAAATCCATCCATTAGTCATCTCCATTCCCTTTCTCGTGTTGCCCAAAACTAATCTTACCTCCGTAGACCCTACTATACAAATTTAGACTTGAAAGAAGACAAATTTTTTTTTAATAGTATGACCTATTTTACAATTGAGTAATAATCTTAGGAGACCCTCTTTCATCCATGTGTATAGGACTTCAAAGAATTACCATTAAATTGACACAAATCTCTAAAAAAATCATGTCTCATACTTATTGTGATAATTTTTTTAGAAATTTGTGCCAAATTTAATGGTGATCATTTGAGATCCTACACACTTGGGTGTGAGAGAGTTTCATATGATCATTACTCTTTACAATTACATCAATACTCATGAACTTGCAAATAATAAATCAATATCTTTATTATTATTTTTGATAAATTATTATTATTACTTGTTCATTTATTAAAAAAATTATCAAAATACCTATAAGAGATGAATTATTTAACAATTAATATACTATTGTTGTTGTTGTTATTGTTATATATATATGATTAATAAATGGGTTTGGTATTTAGTAAATAAAAAACCGAAATTTCTAAAGCAGATAAAAAAAAAAAAAAACATAATTGAGGGGTGTGTGTAGATTGCTCCATCCAGCAGCATCAGATAGATATTGAGAAGACCGATAACCACAGTTTCATGCCTGTAGACTTGAACATGAATTTGGTCCCCTCAGCCATCATTGCCGCCACCGTTTGCTCTATTATAAACCAAATCTCTAAAAATAGATCGCCAGAGACATACTCAAATTTCATGAATTTATTTGTGTGTGGTGGGTTTGAGATTTCCATCTCATGATTGGCCTATCTCTTTCTCTCTCATCGTCTATTTGGCGAATGACTCAAGAGGTCAACTTATGCTTGCCATTTGGGATGAAATCATTCAAGAGGTAGTTATTTGACATGAAAACAAGAGTTTTACACAAGTTCTCATAAAAAAACTTTTTGTTCTGCCGGGATTCAAACCGAGACTCTACAAAATCTGGGATTCAAACCCTGACGGTACAAAATTTTTCGTAAGCATTAAAGGGACTTAACGACTTATGTGATTTAAATGAGACATAAATATAAATATAGTTTATAAAGTGGTTATACAACCAACTCGCCTTAAACTCACTCTAATAGAGCCAGACCAAGTTACTCGGCCGAGTCCAAGTGGCCTCAGCCGAATTTCAAAACCATAGTTTTACATAAAAAAAAGACCAAACTAAAAAGCGCTACTGGTATGAACTGCTAAATTTTTTATTCTGAAGAAGATGAGGAGGAAGCTTATACAGAGGATGAAGAGCTTGAAGAGGATGTTGCTGCACCTATTCCCCCATTTAGAGTCACCATTTCTATGGATGAATTGTGACAATATATATATATATATATATATAAACCTCTAATAGATAACTATGCAATGAAATATTAAAACACGCTAATACATAGATTCCCAGGTAACTAAAATCATAGGAGAATATAGATATACCAGAAAAGATTCCTAACTTTTAGGCATTCCATTTTCTATTACTCTTAGCTTTCGGACGGAACTATGGCCTCTCTTGTTATGTAAGAGAACCACACACTCCTAGGACATGGAGCTCTATAATGGAGTAGGTGCCTATAAATAATTCTATTTTGTCCTTTTTATTGTACATTTTTACTTGGGCTTCTTTTGTTGGATATGGCGATATCAAAATCAAAATCTTATATTACTTGGATTGACATTGTTCTTGA